TAAGAGAAATGAAAACACACACCCACACACAAATCATGCACACAGCGTTCAGATTAGTGTTATTCATAATAGCCTAAAAGTGGAAGCAACACAAATGTTTATCAACTAATGCATGAGTAAATAAAATGTGATATAGCCATACAATGGAATATTGTTAGACCATAAAAAAAAATGAAATACTGATGTATACAACATGGATTAACCTTGAAAACATTATGCTATGTGAAAGAAGCCAGTTACAAAAGACCACTGTGGTCACAAAAGACATACTGTGGTTTTTCAATTTTCATGTCATTTCATTTATATGAAGTTTCCAGAATAGAAAACTGTGGAGACCAAAAGGAGATTAGTGATCGCTTAAGGCTAACGGTGTTGGGAGAAAATGGGGATGGACTGCTTATGGTTATGGGGCTTCTTCTGGGTGATTAAAATGTTCTAAGATTTTAGTTGTCCAATTCTGTGACTATAAAAATATGAAAATATAGAAATTATGAGCTAGATTAGAAGAAATAAGGGATGAGGCAAAAAGTGACACCATTCATTTAATAGGAGTTAATTTAAGAGTTACCTAATAGAGAAAATGGGAGATGGGGGGAGATTAAAAGAGAGAACAGCTAAGAAATTTCCAGTATTAAATATGTTACTCTCTATTTTCAAATACAGTCTTAATTGCTTAAAATATAAAGTATTCTTCCAGTGACAAAAGTACTACATGTTTATTTGCTTACACATTTATAATCTACACATAGTACATAGGAAGAGTCCTTTGTGTGGTGGGGTGGAAATAACTTTCTGTAAAAGCTGATAACATTAATTATATTCAATTTGACATTTAGTCCCTAAGAACAGACACCTGCAGACACTTGTAGAGTTTAATCAGCAAGTTGAAATATCAGAAATGCAATCATGTTTTTACATTATAATGCTCAATCTCCTCAAGTTTTTTCACAATGGGCATGTGACTAAGTGTGAAAGCGAATTTTACAGTTATTAAATTATACAGCAAATCTGCAGTAACTAAAGGGTCATGCAGTTAGCTGACTCTGTATCAACAATCATTATTGGATGAAACTCAGAATTTCCTATAAGGATCAATACAAAAAGCTACTTCGTCCATCTCAACCGCATCCCTGTCCCATGTTACCTACATTGTGGACAGACACTCATTTTCTATACTTTCTGGAGTTATCATAAATAAAACAAAATTATGAAACCTTTATACTCATATATTAATATTTCCTTTATCCTAGTGCATGTTAATATTGAAAACCATGTTGCAAAATGAAACTCTCTCATAAGAGTTGTTTTCATATTTATTCACAATTCTACAGGCCTTAATATTTTCAAAATGCTGTGGAAAACATATGGTTATTATTCTGCATCATAATGTTCCATATGCTAGAATACTTTATCCTCACCTGTAGATGAAAATAATCAGATAGATAAGTCAAGGCCATTTCCTAAAATGAACATAGCCAAGGTATGTGAATTCAGGAAAATCAAGATTTCAACCTTAGCCTGTAGGGCAGGATTCCTTGAACTCAACACTATTGCTATCTGAGGCAGGATCATCTTTTGCTGTGGAGGAGATGGCGGCTCTGTGCATCATGGAACATTTAGCAGCATCTCTGAGTTCTATCCAGTAGATGCCACTAGCACCTCCTCACCGGCTGTGACAACCAAGAATGTATCCCGTATCTTTCCGAACGTCACCTGAGATGCAAAGTTGCCCCATGGAGAACCACTGGCTGAGAGGGACAATGAACACACAAGCAACTAAGTAGATGAACACGTGTATCCTGTTTCACATCCTACATACAGAATTTTCTTTACTCTATGGAGTGAATGTGATTGGCCTGTAGCCTTTTGATTCCTACCTATATTTTAATATTTCTATGGTAGATATTTTTTAGAGAAAGGAACTATCACCACATCATACATTGCAAATTATTAACAGCTTAACTTTTTCAAAACTAGCAATAACCTTTGTCTCAACTTTTGATTTCCAATCAATTTCAATTGAAATTTTAAGCACACTATTTGAGTTAATAAAGTGCCAAATGATCTCTGATACTCATACATGTTTTTGTGAGGTAGGTATGCGTTTAGTGTTAAGTTCCATCATTAGAGATTAAGGATAAATTCAAGGTAATACAACTTGTTAGTGGCAAAAAAGAAAAAAAAAGGCTTTTTGCTCCCATTAGCACTTTTATGATTCAAAATAATTAAGAACACTTGATTTTTAAAAATTCATATTATATTAACATTTTACCTTCATTTGGTTTAACTCAAAGATTTTGACAAGATAAATAATTTTTAATACTTAATAATAATATTACTTTTATTTCCTAAGAATTCCATCTGGTTCTCTCATGTTTGTGAAGTAAAATATCTACAATTCATAATGTCACAAAGACATATTTTGTTAAAAGAAAGTGGATAAGAATGGAAGTATTATATCTCTCATTAAGAATATATTGCATAAAAAAAAGAATATATTGCATAACTCCTTGGCAGTCAGATAAGAAAAAATTATTTAAATAACTTGATTTTTATTTCCTAAATTAAAGCAGTCTACACACATGTGCATTTAGAATTACTAAATAAATAATAATAGTTCAAATAACACTCACATGAACAAATAACATTATATCTTCCTACTCATTAAAAAATTACAGAAAGGTTTACAAAGTTTGGTATATGCTTACAAATATGTTGATTAAAAGTAAAAACTTTACATATACAAAATATATGAATATATCATTAATTTAAATGTATAAATCTCTTTGTTTTAGATTAATGTTATTTCCTATTTTTTATTTATTAATGTTTTTAATTGGCAACCTCTAAATGTATACAGCATACTCACCTAAGTATCAAAAAGTAAGCAAAATTATCTAATTATAAAATATTTTAATGTACCTAAATATTTCACACATTATTATTTTAAAACAGTGTGAAGCTAAAAAAAAACCCCTTCTAAACAATATCTAATGTGTGAACTATAGAAAAAAAGTAAGCTACTGATGAAAGCCTGTAACCAAAGTCTTAGCTAGAATTGTAGCTAAAGAAACAAAATGAACTTTGAGATTGCTACTTGAAATTTTAAAACATGGAACATAGCATATACTCAGTAATTCCAGAACACTAAAGAAAAATAGTAATATTTGCCTATGTAATTTAGCTTTTCAACCAGGTGGATATACTGGAATTCAGTATGTCTAAGCATTGCTGTTTAGTCACTAAGTCATCTGACTATTTGAAATCCCATGGACTGTAGCCTGTCAGACTCTGTCTATGGAATTTTCCAGGCAAGAATACTGGAGTGGTTTGCCATTTCCTTCTCCATGTCTAAGCATGCATGCTCAATCACTTCAGTCACATCCAGCTCTTTGCAACCCTGTGGCATCTGGTCCCATCACTTCATGGCAAATAGATGGGGAAACGGTGACAGACTTTATTTTGGGGGGCTCCAGAATCACTGCAAATGATGACTTCAGCCATGAAATTAAAACACGCTTACTCCTTGGAAGAAAAGTTATGACCAACCTAGACAGCATATTAAAAAGCAGAGACATTACTTTGCCAACAAAGGTCTGTCTAGTCAAAGCTATGGTTTTTCCAGTGGTCATGTATGGATGTGAGAGTTGGACTGTAAAGAAAGCTGAGCACTGAAGAATTGATGGTTTTGAACTGTGGTGTTAAAGAAGACTCTTGAGAGTCCCCGGGACAACAAGGAGATCCGACCAGTCCATCCTAAAGGAAATCAGTCCTGAATATTCACTGGAAGGACTGATGCTGAAGCTGAAACTCCAATACTTTGGCCACCTGATGCGAAGAGCTGACTCATTTGAAAAGACCCTGAAGCTGGGAAAGATTGAAGGCCAGAGGAGAAGGGGACAACAGAGGATGAGATGGTTGGATGGCACCACCAACTCATTGGACATAAGTTTGAGTAAACCCCAGGAGTTGGTGATGGACAGGGAAGCCTGGCATGCTGCAGTCCATGGGGTCACAAAGAGTTGGATATGACTGAAAGACTGAACTGGACTGGACTCTAGTCTGTCAGGCTCCTCAAGTCACTGGGATTCTCCAGGCAAGAATACTAGAGTGTGTTGCCATTTCCTTCTCCAGGGAATCTTTCAGACTCAGGCATCAAACCCACATCGCCTGCATTGCAGGCAGATTCTTTACCACTGAGCCAGGTGGCAACCCATGCCTAAGTGTATGTACCTTTAAATGTAAATGATTGCAGATTGGTTGACTTTCAAAAATGCAGCTTAATAGTATTCAGTGGAATCTTCTAATTCCATGGAGCTTAACCATTTTTAATTCTGTATGTTCTTGGACCACCAAATCTATAAGTACCTAGTTGACAGTACTTTGGTCAGTATAAAGCTTATGGGAGGGAGTTTATATTTATAGGCTGGGTTGCAGTGAACCAGGATCTGGGGTAACAGGATTCACACTGGGTGTCTTAAGATATATGCAAGCACAAGGCAATAGAGTGAATGGGAAATTATGAATAGGACGGCAAGCAAGCATGAAATGCACAACAAAACCAAAGTCGATAGGTCAGAAAATTGGAATCCAGATAAGAACCGGAGACTAAGAAAGGCAATACAAGCAGCCAGTGGCCAGGAACTATAGATAACAATCAAAAAGGCCTAAGAATAGATGTGTAGTATCAAGAAGACCTTGATTATTGGGTCCATGTTCTGTCCCAAACAGGATGCTTCTTGATTACCGCCCTCTTGAGCATGAATCAATTCCAAGATTACTATGTGCCCTGGGCTGATAGGGGTTGATGAGAAGCAAAGATTTAGATAGCATAAACCCGCTATTTCCTTGCTCCCTAAAAACAGAGTGTGATAGGAGGAAGAAAGGTCTTTTTTAATATCAATTACGATTTCAGCAAACTCTAAAACATGCTAGCACCAAATGCATGGGAAATATTTTTAACAATGCCCTAATTTAAGAATATTCTTTTAACCATCAAGCACATGTTATATGTATGTATTAGCTTTTCAGCACATATGTAGTGACAACTTTCACAACTACAGCTTCACTGAAATAAAAGAGAGAGGGAAATGCTGATGCTGAAACTTTAACCTCCAGTGTTGCATCAATTAATGAGTGTAGAAAGTTAAAAAAAAAAAAAAAGAAAAGTCAGGGCTTAGCTTAAACAAAATGATCCCCCAAAGTTCCCTCCAAAGTACTCATTATAGACGAAAAAAAAAAATCTAAAACCTGATTCAAGTATTTTAGAAGACATAAAACTGGGACACTGCTTAAGATCATTTAACGTCACAGCTGCTTCACAAACGAGTTCCATTGATCTTGCTGCTTTGATCTGTGCCATTCAATTCAATATGGTTGAAGGCAGGATTATCAGTTCCACCATCTTCTACTGGATGAGATTTATAGCTTAAAACTTGCTTCTTCTAAAAGAAAATGTTAACATGATGATTAGAGAAAAGAAACTGTTTATTCAACTCAATAATTATCACTACTACTTTTCTTTCTCTAAATCTTATTCACAGTCTACTGAAGCAGAGATAAACAACAGAAATAAATCATTTTAAAGAGGAAGGCAAATACCTTCCTTGTCCATCAGAGTTCCAAAGAGAGTTTGAGGACTAATGAGTATTCTATCCTGGTGATAAAAACAGTCTTAAGAATTTAAGGAAAAAGAAAGCCAACTCACTTTCTTAAAAATGTCAAAATTAGATAAAAAGTCCTCTTTGGTTAGTAGGAATCTGCAGTCTATGTTTTGTTTTCTTCCTCCTGAAAAACAGACATTATTTACATCATTAAAAGGATATCTGTAACTACCCAGTGAAGGACCATCATACACACATTTAACTTGAGCACATTCACTTCTATGCACTTACAAAACACAAAGAGTCTTTTAAATAGTGCTGGAGACTTAGCCTACCCTTTCTCTCCCTTCAGTCAGTCCCAGACTCTGCAAGCCTCTCACTGGGATCAATATGAGTCTACTGTTTAAAGATAAATGAGATGGCTCTTAAATGTAAGCCAACTGCCTCATCCAGTATCAGCTAGGGAAGAGTCATCTGGCCCAATACTGGTAGGAAAACTGGTTTAAAAGCATTCTTCATGTTCTACCAATAAAATATCAAACCATCTACCTCTGCTTAAGACAGCAGAGTTTCCCTACCTTAATCTGGTGGTTATGAATGTATGAAGAAATGTAGGAAACTGTGAATTGTTGGATAAACTATTCAAATGAAAATCAATATGGTTATCAGAATCAAAGCATTTAAGGGAGGGAAAAGGAGCAAAGAGAGTACTATGACACTCCCATTTTTTAAGGAAAAAAAATGAGTTGAAAAAGACCGAAAGTCAAATAGTAAAAGGAGATGTTTGTTCCAGATCTGAATGGTTGGGTTACTGGCGAGAAAAGTTTAAAATCTGTCTTAAAATATACCACAACAGATAAGAGAGTAAACCTCCCATGCTGGGAATTTTACTTAGGAGAAATACCACAGTTCTTTTTGAAAAGAAAGATAAGAGTTTAAACAACTGTTTGTGAGGTAACAGATATCTACAAACTTTATTATAAAATTACAATAATTATAGATTGTAATGTCTATAATAATGACAAGTATATAATGTTAATATAATCATTAATCTGTTATAATAATGTCATTATTAATATAATTTTAATTATAAATGCAAGTACCAAAGAAGTCTCAAAGACAGTGCTATCCAGATGCCAAAAAATCAATGAGAGGTGGTAGAATTCTACAAAGTGGGCACCATGCTGGCAGATTTGTAGCATAGAGCAGACATCACACATACTTGGATAAAGTGTAGGATTTCTGACTGATTACAACACATTTGATAAAGAAGGCAGTGGCGCTTCCTGCCCCTGGTTTGGCTGCTGTGGATGTGTACGTGTGAGGGAACACAGGAAATTAGGGAGCCCAGCTTTTCTCCCCAACTCCACACTCCCGCTCTGCTCCAAACCACCATGACTGCTCACCTGGATAAGGGCAATAGCCTCACCCACCCTGCTTTCCTTACACACTACTCTCAAAACTGGATCCGCACGCTCCTTTGAAAATTATTGGAAAAGTCATTATAAAAATATCCCAGGTAGTAGATCTAAAAGACATAGAGATGGAAAATAGAGAGAAGAGATAAGAAAATCAGAGGGGCTGTCCAAGTTTAAAACATTTGACTCACTGGAGCTTCCAGAAAGAGAAAATCGAAAATGGCAGGAAATCACAAAAGAAATCATATAGGAAAGTTCCCTGGAACTGAAGGATATATGTCTTTAGACCCTCCTGAGGGTTTAGGGCAGAACAGTCATTGTGAAATGGGTCACATGTAAACGGCCAGTGCACGACAGGGCACTGGTGTTCTGAACAGCAACAAGACAAGTCGAAGAAAAGTAAGACAGGCTCCAGGAACAAGAAAGTTACTCTCAACCTAGGATTCTCTACTCACATTATCAACAGTTACCAAGCAGATATGCAATGTTTCCAAGATCTCTTGTCCATCCTTTCTCAAGAACATGCTATAGCATATACTCCATTCAGTTAAGGGAGTAAACAAGAATTAGGAGAAATGGGATTCAGGCAGCAAAGCATCCAACAGAGGAAGGAGACCGAGGGAATTCACAGAACGAGGACACAGTGAATTCCCAGGATAATGGTTCTACAGCAATCCCAGAGAGCAGGGTATACCACATGTATTATTGGTTTGATTTTATTTAAAACGTATTTTTTTTTAAGTTTACAGACATCTGAAAAAAGCCTTCACACTATGTTTATATATGAAGACCATAATTAGATATAAAGACTTCTCCTTACATGTACACATATCTTCTTTCCAGTTTACAAAGAGTTGGTGCAGGACAATGAGAATATCATGGCACAGGGCTATTATAATGGTATGTATAAAACTCCTAGCATTGTAATAGCTACACACAAACATTTTATTTTTATCTTACAGCAACCTGTGAGATAGGCAGGTCAATTACTATTACCCTCATCTTATACATAAGATAGCTAAGCCTCAGTAGCTTTGGAGCAGCTCTACAGACTTAGAGCTATAAGTTCATGCAGCTGGTAAACGGCATAACAGATCCAAACTGAGATGGGTCTTCTGTTTTCAAGACTAGGCCCTAAAATTTCCCATGAGTAAAATGGAACAAATAATTGAGCTAATAGTATTTTACTATTTTATATAGTAAAACAACATAAATAGCTATAAAACAGATATAGTAAAAACTAATACAGAGGTAAATATAGCAAGACTAAATGTAGCAATACTGATACTAAATACATCAGTAGTAATGTTACCTGTTGATACACTGAGAAGCATCCCCACAAACAACGTTACCAAAGTTCCAACAGTGCTGAAGTATAGATATGACAAGGAATACCAGTTATCCATCAGTGGAGTCCTAAGAAAGGACAAAAGCATAACCGTAAGGTTTCACGCATGCCACTAAGTAACCAAGAGTATGCATCAGTAAGCCTCATGGCAAAGTCAGAGCACAATACTTAATCATGTTTCTAATGTCCAAATGTGCTGTCCCAATTTTACCTTATTGGGTCAGAAATTAAGTGTGACCTAACCTTGATCTCATACTATAAAACCAACGTCCATGTTTATTCATTCTGTTCATTTATTCATTCATTATTCATTCCCCTCTGCTTTGTGTTCCAGGCACTGTTCTTGTCACTGAAAAGTCTGCCATTGAGAAGGTGGACAAGGGGGTTCCTGCCCTCAGGAAGTTTACATTCTAAACGAGATGTGTATACACGTAAATCCAAGGCTAATTCATTTCAATGTATGACAAAAACTACTGTAATGATGTAAAGTAATTAGCCTCCAACTAATAAAAATAGAAAAAAAAAGATAAAAAAAAATAAAAACAAATCAACGTTAATTCATGATTAAAGTTCAGATAATAGAAATAGAAGGTAATATCCTCAATATTTTTGTGTTTGCACTGATTAAATGTTGGCAATACAAAAAAAATGTTGGCAATACTAAAATTTGGCATGTAGAAGAAAATTAGATTTGGAGGGAAAAATCATTTGTTTGATTTCTAATATATCTAACATATCTGAAAAAAATAAATAAATAAATAAACGAGATGTGTAGTGATTAAGTAAACAAATTAATAAACATAATAATTCTCATTTTGATTGTAGAGAAGAAAGCATTTAAATGAGACATTAATATCAAAATGAGAAATTAATGTCAAAGATACTTTAAAAATTCCATGAATTTTGGAAATCAAATGTCCACTTTTAAATGATGTCTCCTGGCAATCTTGATTCCAGCTTGTGATTCATCCAGCTGGGCATTTTAGGTGTAAAATATAGTGATCCACAATTTTTTAAGATTATATTCCATTTACAGTTATTATAAAATATTGGCTATACATACTATGTTGTACTTATGTCCTTGTAGCTTACTTTATACCTAATAGTTTTTACCTCTTAATCCCTTACCCCTATATTGCCCCTCCCCACTTCTCTGCCTCTTTGTTATCTTCATTATTTTGTTGTTTTTTTTTAGATTCCACATATAAGAGATATCATATAGTATTTGTGTTTGTCTGACTTATTTCACTTATATTTCCAGCAGTGTGGGTAGACCTGGAAGGCACATTGTAGTATTTTAAGTGGAGAAGTGACATGATCTGATATGCTTCTAAAACAACTGCTCTAGGATTCCACATTCAGCTTTGATAGACCCATCATCCAGCCAAAAGTAATATTTGAAAATTTGGAGATGGGATGAGTCAGGTTTTTGTAGACCTCAGAGAGATCATGGCAATTAGAACTTAAGGGGTCAAGATCCCAGAAAGAAGGGAAACATAGAGGTTAGCTAGTGAACTTAAGATAATGTGATATATTGGGCCAAAGACAGACAAAACAGAACAGAATAGAAAATCAAAAAACTGACCCACAAAAAATAGTCATTGGGTTTACGTCATAGTTGCCACTGCATGGGAAAATGGCACAAAAAGAGGGTATTTTCAATAAATGGTTTTTGGCTAATAGAATATCCATATGGGGAAAAAAATGAATCTTGACCACTTGAAATCAATTCCAAAGTGGATTACAATTCACAAATGGAAATGGTGCATAAGAAAGCTTTTAAATAAAAAAATTAGAGGAATATCTTTATGACCTCAAGGTAGGCAAAGATTTCTTAAATGGGACTCACAAAAGACTAACCATATAGAAAGAGACTGATAAGTTGAACTCAACTAAAATTAAGAAATTCTGACCACTAAAAAGCATCACTAAGAGAGTAAAAAGGTAAGCTACAGGGTGGGAGAAAAATATTTTCAAAACTTATCTTTTACCTAGAATATGTCAAGAAAACTTAAATAAATAAAAACAGAGAACTCATTTTAAAATGGACCAAAGATTTCAATAAAGTCACAAAAGTTCACAAAAGTAGTTATACAAATGCCCAACAGACATGTAAAAAGATATCAAACTTCATTAATCATAAGGGAAATGAAAGTTATGTACCCATCAAGTATTAGGAACTTAAAAAGTGAAAACTGAATCTGAGCAATTGAAGCCTAATATCTAGGCAACAAGAGTATCCTACTTCACCTTTAGCTGTTTGTTCTCTCCCCTTGGACTCTAGTCATGCTGAACTGTGCATGATGTCCTAAGACACCATGTGGCTTCAGGCCTTCCTGATTTGCATATGTTGCCTTCATTCTGCAACATACACTCCTTCCTTCCACCCCCCTCCTCCCCCTGCCTGATCTTGTTCACCTGATTATTTCAACCGTGGTCACACTCCTCTAAAAAAGAATCTTTCACTCAGGAATCATTAGGCTCCTCCTCCTTCTGGTTGTCATGATAGACTGTGAATACTATGTTTCACAATGTGTTACTTGTTTATTCTCTTGTCCAACTTCCGTTTGGGTCATTTTCTGTGACAAGAACCTCCTCTTCTAGCCAACTTCTGCATTCTTCAAGTATTAGTACATCCCTGAAGTCTATGCTAATCTACATTTCAACTTTGCTTATAATCATTCTTGTGGGTACTTAGTTCATGCTCAAAAATTCTCGTTTATTAGCTGAGCTATTTTATAAATAAGCTAACACAGAACAGTGATTATTATGGTACCAGGCACATAGTAGACCTCAGCTAATTTGTGTATTTTGGAAATCCAAATAACCAATCTGCCTTTAAATTAAAAGGTACATCTACATAATCAGGACAAACACTAAGAAAAATTGTGAAATGAAAAGTACAACTTCAACATCCTGCCACTTACCCTTAATCACTTCTCCCTTAACTAACTCATCACTTCTCCCTTAACTAACTCATCACTTCTCCCTTAACTAACTCATCACTTCTCCCTTAACTAACTCATCACTTCTCCCTTCTCTCTAATGACTTCCTGAGCTCCACCCTATAAATGCATTCATCCTTATCCAGAATATGCCCTGTATTTCTGTGCCCTTATCTCCATAGCATCCCCATCTAGTCAAACCTTCCCCCACACATGCCTCAGGCCCTAGAAGTACCTTTTCTCTTTACCCATGCAGACTACCAGCCCTGACTCCCACACAAGTATTCTCATAGCTGAATTCCCTCTGAATCACCAATGAGTTTGTATGTATGGTCACATTCCTTCTCCCAGGAGTGTGTCCCATTTTAAGAGGGAGATGCCATGTCTTGTCTCAAAAGAAATGATTCTCCAGTGGCTTCATTCTAGGCAAGCTGGAACTGGGGCAATGCTTTAGGGGAAGTGCCCTCATCTTTGCATTCCTTGAAGGCATCCATGGGTTTTTCGCTTTAAAACTGAAGATGTATATACCCACTAAGGGTAGTCTTGCTCTCACACCCACTGAACAGTGTAACAGTGATGCACCAAAAGGTCTGTTGCTGTTTAGTCACTAAGTGAAACTCACTCAGTCGTATCTGACTCTTTGTGATCCCATGGACTATAGCCCACCAGGCTCCTCTGTCCATGGAATTTCCCAGGGAAGAATACTGGAGTGGGTTTCCATTTCCTTCTCCAACCAAAAGTCTACATTATTTCATTAAATCAGATTACATCAGTAGCCAGAGCTCAAAAATGTACTGCATAACTGAAAACTCTAACAGGAAGATCACAGCTGCAAATCATTGCCAATGCTCTAAAGATTCAGAATATTTAAAACTGAACAAACAGCAATTATCCAACATATTTCGATGCATTGTAGCTTCTAGTTGGTAAAAGTTATACTTCAAAGACTATCTATGCAATGTGTCTTTTATAATTTTGCTTTTTATTTTAAAGGTTTTTCAGTGGACAGAGACAACTTTTCATTCAAGTGGAACTAATATTTGTCAGCATTTACACATAGTAGAATTTTTTGTTACTATTCAAGTCTTCTTTGCATCTGAAGGTGAAGTGGGAGTTTTTATTGAAATTAAGAAAATATGGCTTTTTTTTTTTTTTGCTATTTCTGAAAAAAATATAATAGCCAGAAAGCCACACACACTCTCCTCATTTAAGAATTGGGCAAAAAAACAGAAAGATAAAGACCATTACAGTATACTAACACATATATATGGAATTTAGAAAGATGGTAACGATAACCCTATATGCAAAAAAAGAAAAAGAGACTCAGATGTATAGAACAGACTTGTGGACTCTATGGGAGAACCCGGGGGTGGGATGTTTCAAGAGAACAGCATCGAAACATGTATATCTAGGGTGAAACAGATCACCAGCCCAGGTTGGATGCATGAGACAAGTGCTCAGGCCTGGTGCACTGGGAGGACCCAGAGGGATGGGGTGGAGAGGGAGGTGGGAGGGGGGACCGGGATGGGGAATACATGTAAATCCATGGCTAATTCAATATATGACAAAAACCACTGCAATGCTGTAAAGTAATTAGCCTCCAACTAATAAAAATAAATGGAAAAAATAAATAAATAAAATAAAATTTTAGAATGCTGTAAAGTAATTAGCCTCCAACTAATAAAAATAAATGAAAAAAAAAATTAAACACAATTAAAAAAAAAAAAAAAGAATTGGGCAAAAATCACAGCACTGCAGGCAAGACAAAGAGCAACAGAGGTTGCCTATCTGTCACATTCATTTTTGCAAATATGACGTAACAAAGCTCGATTCATTACCTTTCAATCTTGTGCACTTGAAAGGCACTGGTAGAAAATGGCTTTTCTGTGGTTGTCATCCAACTTGTTCCATTGTATGTGCTGTTACAGCCATAGGTTTCAAGTCTTAACGGCATCATTCTCTCAGGAAGTGGGGGATAAAGCTGAGCTCCAATTCCGACCCACAAAGAAGCGGCAAATCCAGACAGCAGACCCCCAAGTGCTCCCTGCAAAACAGAAGTGTCTTTCAAAACAAATAATACAGTTTGCTTTGAAATAGAAGTTAGCATTAGGAACTTAAGTTCAACACGGTCCAAATCAAATTTACCAGCTTCCCTCCTAAAACTCTTCTCCCTTGCAAGCTCCCTGCCTCTTGCCAAGGGCAGCATGGGTCCCAGGTCCCTCAGCCCAGAGCCCTGGTCTCTGGAACCCCCAGCCCCTATTTTATATCCCTATCTTGCCAACCACCAATTCCTCTTCATTTTTCTTTACATATCTCATAATTCCTTGCCTTCCACTCTGTCTGCATGACCAGCACTCTGTTCTGGCCTTTTCATCTCTTTACATCCAATGACCACAACAGACAGATATGCAGTTGACTTCAAGCCAACTGTTCCCTCCACTTCTACTTAATTTACAAAAAATTAAAAAATGGCATGTCATATGAACAACAGGGGCTTCCCAGGTGGCGCTAGTAGTAAAGGACCTGCCTGTCAGTGCAGGAGACCTAAGAGACTCAGGTTCTATCCCTATGTTGGGAAGATCCCCTAGAGGAGGGCACGGCAACCCACTCCAATATTCTTGCTGGAGAATCCCATGGACAGAGGAGCCTGGTGGCCTACAGTTTCTAGGGTCGCAAAGAGTCAGACAAGACTGAAGTGACTTAGCACACATGCAGGCATGAGCAACAGGCTATGAAGAAGAAAGCATCCACAGAATTTATCCCTTTACTTAGCAACATGCATGATTGTAAATTAGGGGACAATAGCAAAGTCTTTTCACAAATGACTGCAATGGTACATATAACAAAGCCAAGCATTTCCAGAGATAAGTGGAAATGTCCTCTCTAAAGACAGTTGGTTTCACAATCTTTGGAAGACTTGGGTTACTCTGCTCCTACTGTTTACCAGTAATCAAACTGTTTTTGATAGTNTGACTGCAGTGGTACATATAACAAAGCCAAGCATTTCCAGAGATAAGTGGAAATGTCCTCTCTAAAGACAGTTGGTTTCACAATCTTTGGAAGACTTGGGTTACTCTGCTCCTACTGTTCACCAGTAATCAAACTGTTTTTGATAGTTAGTCAGTCCTCAAATGATTTAAGCCCTAGTTCCAAATGATGCAGTTGAAAGTGAATCTTGCTGGAAAGCCCCTTTCTCTGTGGTGAAATTTCTCCCCTCACTTTAAGAATAATGATCAGATTATTACAACAGAAATAACAGTATCTTACTTCCTCTGCTAAGGACAAGTTGGACCTAGTCAGCTATAGCATTTCTGGAGGACTCTCGTGGTGGCAATAAGTGTCAAAAATCAAAAGTCAATCTTCTTTTAATATTTCAGGCACTCAACCAACCACTTGCATTTCATAATGCAAAGAATCTCATCAAAACTTCAACATTCTGAGGTGGACATGAACTGCCCTCTTTCACTGTGATTCATTTCTACTAAGCTAGGATTTCATATGACACATCATGGAGAATTATTATTAACAATAATAACAATGATAATAGCCCTTACTTGTATCTGCCTTACCAATCCCTAATGAGGAAAATGGAATTCTAAATATAAAGTTCTGCAGTTATTCTCCATCTGTCTGAAACAACCGCATATATATTATAAGTCTTTCCTAAACCTCAGCTTTATAACAGGACTAAAGTCATAGTGTTCCTCCTCACTTTCAGAGAAATTATTTCAATTTCATTTATTCTAAACAAAACTTAGAACACCTCAAAGCACAGATATATCTATATAGAAGAACAGAGCTATCACTTCTTTCTGAATTCAATTCTCAATTATGATTACCCCTTTGGGAACAGAACCACGTTGTTGCAGTTACATCCTTAAATATCAGGAGAACAGTTTCTGACCAAAGTGGCAAAGAATTTATCTTATTGCTTCTCTTTACTGTACTCTGGCTATTCACAGGTATCCTTGGCTCCACTGCCCTGAAATCTTTCATATCCAAGGCTGTTGATCTCCTTTAAACCTTAATGATTAATTCTCATGAAGGATAAAAAATAAATGAAAACAAAATGTTGTTCTTTAGTTATATAATATTCATAATGTGCATGCTAAGTTGCTTCAGTCATGTCTGACTCTGTGAGATCCTAGGGATTGTAGCCTGCCCGTCTCCTCTGTCCTTGGGATTCTCCAGGCAAGAATACTGGAGTGGGTTGTCATGCCCTCCTCCAGGGGATCTTCCCAACCTAGGGATCAAACCTGCGTCTCTTACATCTCTTGCATTGGCAGAAACGTTCTTTACCTTGAGCACCACCTGAGAAGCCCAATATTCATAATATATTGTATTATATTATATTATGTATCATATTATGTATTATTTCATAATATATATCCTTTAGTTGTGCTTCATGATACACTTTATTTTATTATATTTTTATGATACTCTTTAATATTATCTTTTGGGCTTCCCCAGTGACTCAATGGTAAAGAATCTGCCTGCCAGTGCAGGAGACACAAGCTCAATCCCTGGGTCAAGAAGATCCCCTGAAAAAGGAAATGTCAACCCACTCCAGTATTCTTGCCTGGAAAATCCCATGGACAGAGGAGCCTGGTGGGTTACAAGAGTCAGACACAACATAGTGACTAAACAGCAATATCATATTTTAGTTATGATTGTGTTTTTCTATAATTATGTGATAGTCACAATATTGGAGGAGGCAGTGGCACCCCACTCCAGTACTCTTGCCTGGAAAATCCCATGGGCAGAGGAGCCTGGTGGGCTGCAGTCCATGGGGACGCTGAGAGTCGGACCAACTGAGTGACTTCACTTTCACTTTTCACCTTCAGGCATTGGAGAAGGAAATGGCAACCCACTACTCAATCCCTGGGTCAAGAAGATCCCCTGAAAAAGGAAATGTCAACCCACTCCAGTATTCTTGCCTGGAAAATCCCATGGACAGAGGAGCCTGGTAGGCTGCAGTCCATGTGAACGCTGAGAGTCGGACCAACTGAGCGACTTCACTTTCACTTTTTCACCTTCATGCACTGGAGAAGGAAATGGCAACCCACTCCAGTGTTCTTGCCTGGAGAATCCCAGGGAAGGGGGAGCTTGGTGGGCTGCCGTCTATGGGGTCTCACAGAGTCGGACACGACTGAAGTGACTTAGCAGCAGCAGCAGTCACAGTATATGTTGTTCGGGCAGTTTCCATTTAGTTTCACACATGCAGGGTCCCATAGTACATTCGTTGTGTGTCCCAGCAAAGTCAACATGAATAACTTAAATCATCAAGATGAGCCACTAATGACAGGTATCAAAGGAACAATAACTTTACAATTGAGAAAAATTGTAGAAATGCTACTGTAGTTGGAAAAGTAGACTTTACATATATTCATCTTTTATACTTACAATTGAGTTGGCAAAGGGAACCAAAATCCCCAAGGCAAACAAGCCCATTAGTGGCCCACCAAGCATGCCAAATATGCTGAGTGCTGCCTACAAAATTAATAAGAAGTCATCAATCAGCAATCGGAAATCCAAAGTTAAAACATTTGAAAGTAATTTCATTGAGATGAGGATTTAAACTCAGACTCCTGAATATTATGGCAGCCTTGCCACTGACAAAGGGATAATTAGAACCTGGAAGCTTCTGAATCTCAGGCTCAGGTTCTATCTGTTCATTAAGTATCCTCAATAAAAGAAGCAAACTACAAAGAGGACAGAGAACTATGAGGCAAGAGGGACACTACTCTTCCTAGCATTGTTCTTATAGATGTCAATAATCACATCACTCCTTTGTGCTTTGGTAGTCTCAAAATGCTCTGCAAAACAAGATTATGGATAAGTACTACTAAGTGACCAGAGATGGCAACAAAACTCAGTGCTATCCTTGATTTCCTAAGGATAGAACTAGAATGAGAAATGTAACTTCAAAAAAAAAGAAAGATTAAAAAAAACAAAAACAAACAAAAAAAGATTGATCAAATCACGAAGAAAGTTTTAACCTGATTGGCTAACTGCAACCTTTGCTTTGATGGACAGATGCCAAAATCATGATAGTGACAAAAGTTTACAGTGTGAAGAATGCAAAAGTGCAAATAGCTGAAACATTCAAGAGATGCATGTTCACAATATTCAGACGGCTAACTTTTGAGAGTGAATAGAACCGTCAAAGAAGAATCAGGGATGCACTGGTTTGTTCACAGAGTAAAAGGGACAGATGGAACAGAATTAATACATTAAAGAAAAAATGTCAGTTAAAAAAAATTTAGAGGGTATAGACTGCAGCTCTGGGTTAAAAAACAAACAACAAACAAGCAAATAAACAAAAAACAAGAAAAGAGCTCTACCTAGTGGACTAGGGAGGGAGTGAGGATATGATGACAGAAGAACTAGTGTTCAAGGAGAATGTGGACTCAGAATATGGTCCTAAGGAATCATTTCACAATGTCTCCTGAACCAGAGTCCAGTAGGAAGGAAGGCAGAGTTTTGCAAAATGTGCAAAGTCACTTGGCACATGTGGTGGTCACTGACAGTGTGAGCTAGAGCCAGCTCTGGACATACAAGGAATAGTCTCCCCACCAAGTACTTGTCTCAGGAATAAGACCTTGGTTAGAGATGAAGCAAGGAAGAGCTGTCTTCAAGTCATGATGAATCTCCTAGAATATCCCATTACCTATCCTCAGGCCAGAGCTGGTACATGAAAAGCGAGGGAAAGGGGGAATCGATCATAATAAGAGCTCTAAATAGTAATTCAGACTATGAAGGAAAGCATACTAACAGGAGTTTTGTTGGTTATAGCTTAGGTGTACCAGATAAGAGAGTTTCTAGACCTAAATCATTCATTCATTCATACAATCAGGATGAGAGCACACTGTTTTAACAGCTGGTATACACTAAGAAACAACTGGCCAGAAAGGAACCAAATCCTAGGCCTGAAGCGGGAGTCTGGAGGACTTGCTATGCCTAGCATTAACCTTCAAGTTTCTGGGTCATGCTGAGGTCCCAGGGTCCCAGAGTCAGACCCAGGTGGCCATGGAAATTTCATGGACCACTTGGGGGTGATCAGATAAGTAGATATTTATGAACCAATACATAAATACATTCAACCTGAATGTATAAAACATCTACTTTGTCTTAGGTACTGTACCAGATATTTGGCACATTATCAAAGAACAATGACATAATCCTCACCTTCATGGAATTATAACCTATTTAGTAAAACAGACACTAAATAAATAACTGCAATAAAGTATTATAATGGGATGATAAGAGAAATATGAGGTGCTCTGGGAACATAATAGAGGGGAACTCAAACCTATCCAGGTAACAGAAGGAGCCTTTTTAGAAAATAGTGTTTAAGTTGAAACTTGAAGAAAAAATAAGACTTAAACAATTAAAGAGTGCTAAACAGAAAATCAGAAGGATACAGAAGAACTCAGAACCATCAAAGAGAAGATCTAATAATAATTGACACTTATAGAATATACACTTAACAGCAAAGCACACATTCCTTTCAGGTTCCCTGTAACAGATACCAAGATACTATATCCTGGGCTATCAAACAGACTTCAGCAAATTCTGAAGAATTAAAATCATACAGAATGTGTTCTCTGACCACCTTGGAATGAAACTAGAAATCAATAGCAGAAAGATAACAGGAAAATCTCCAAACACTTAGAAACTAAGTAATATACTTTCAAACAATCCATGGTCATGGTGTATGATTTTTTTAATATGTTGTTGGATTCTGTTTGCTAGAATTTTGTTAAGGATTTTTGCATCTATGTTCATCAGTGATATTGGCCTGNATGGGGAATACATGTAAATCCATGGCTAATTCATTTCAATGTATGACAAAAACCAGTGCAATGTTGTAAAGTAATTAGCCTCCAACTAATAAAAATAAATGGAAAATAAAAATAAACAATCCATGGGTCAAAAGGACATATCAAAGGAAATTTTAAAACACAAATACAAAAAAAAACAAATAAAATACAAATACAAAATATGAAAAGTTGTGGGACACAGCTAAAAGTGCTGAGAGGGAACATTTTAGCAATTAGCGCATAAATTATAAAGAAAAGTCTGAAATCAATCATCTAAGGTTCTGCCTCAAGAAGAACAAAATCCAAAGTAAGCAGAAGGAAGAAAATAATGAAGATAATAACAAAAAGCGATGATTTAAAACAGAAAAGCAATATGGAAAAATCAGTGAAACAAGAAGCTAATTCTTTGAAAATATCAATAAAAGTTGACAAACCTCTAGCAAGACTAAAAAATAGATAAAAGATAAAATTACCAATATTAGGAATAAAACAAGAGCTAACACTACAAACTCTGCAGATATCAAAAGCATAAGAAGGGAATACTATGAATCACTTCACAAACATAAATTTGACAACTTAGGTAAAATAGACCAAATCCTTGATCCATTTTATAATTCATCCAATAGAAACAGGTAATTTGAATAGGTATAACTACTAAGGAAACTGAATTCATAATTTTAAATTACCCCAAAAAGAAACCCCCAAGAGCAGATGCTTTCACTAGAGTATTATACCAAATAGCATTATACCAAACAAAGAATTAACACCAGTTTTGCACAATCTCTTTCAGAAAAAAGGAGAGAATTCTTTCCTATTTATTTTATGAAGCTGGTATGATCCTAATACCAAATCCAGATGATGACATTACAAAAAAAAAAATTACTACAGATCAGTATCTCATGAATATAGATGTAAAAATTCTTAATAAAATATCATCAAATAGAATTCAGCAAGATATAAAAATAACTATATGCTATGACCAAGTGAGGTTCATTTCAGAAATGCAAGGCTGGATCAACATTTGAAAATCAATCAGGATAATATACCATGTCAAAGGACTAAAGAAGAAAATCATATTGTTATATCAAATGATGCTGAAAAATCATCTGACAAATTTCAACACTCATTCATGATAAAAACTGTCAGTAAAATAGGAGTAAAGGGGAATTTCCTTAATTTGGTAAAAGGGGTATACAAAACTCCCACAGCTAATGGACTCAAGAATGAATTACTAAATGCTTTCCTCATTCAGTGGCTTCCCTCATGGCTCAGCGGGTGAAGAATTTGCCCTCAATGCAGGAGACCTGGGTTCAATCCCTGGGTTAGGAAGACTCCCTAGAGAAAGGAAAGGCTACCCACTCCAGTATTCTGGCCTAGAGAATTCCATGGACTGTATGGCCCATGAGGTCGCGAAGAGTAGGACACAACTGAGCAACTTTCACTTTCACTTTCCTCATTCAGACTGGGCAACAAGGCAATGGTGTTCACTCTCCCTCCACTTATTCAACATGATGTGGAAACTGAAGCCACAGGAATAGTATAATAATAATAATAATAACAAATCGAAGCAATAAGGAAACAAAAGGTACACATGCAAATTGGAAGAGAAGATATGAAACTGTCCCTATCTGAAGTTGAAGAGAATCTCAGAAACCAATAAGTAAACTCAGCAAGGTCACATGATATAGACAAATATACAAAATCAATTGTATCTCTTATACATTAACAAACACATGGACACCAACATTAAAAATACAGTATCATTTAAATTACTCAAAAAATTGAATACTTAGGTATAAATCTAACTAAATATAAATGGGGCTTATAAAAATTACACAGTTGGTGGTGGAAAAACTTAAGGATGATCTAAATAAGTGAAGAGACATACTACATTTATGGATTAAAAGATGCAATGTGGTAAAAATGTTCCCAAGTTGTTATATAGGTTTAAGGCAATATTATCAAAATAAGATTTATTACAAAGTGATAGTAATCAAGACTGTGTGATCTTGGCAGATGGATATACACACAGATCAATGGAATAGAGCAAAGAAACCAAAAATAGACTCATAAAAATATCCTCCACTGATTTTTCACATAGGTGCAAAGGCAATCAATGGAAGAGAGAGAGTTTTTACAACAAGTGGTGTTAGAGCAACTGGACATCCACAGGGAAAACTAACCTAGGTCTCTCACCATTGAGGAAACTGGCTAAAGGGTGTGTGGAGTCTCTGCATTATTTTTCACTATTACATGTAAACCTATGATTATCTCAAAATGGAAATTTCAATTAAAAAAATTTTAAAGACTTTAGTCACATCTGTTCCTTGGTATGTCTATGGGTAGATATATAAAGAGAGAAGTCTAGAAATCACATCAACTTTTTTTAAAAAAGAAGAATTTAGTGATTATGACTTAAACCTTTGAGGATTAGCTCTTACCTGCAACAAAGCTCCCATTAGTGAAGCCAGTGCAGCCATGCCAATACACAGGGCTCCAAACAGCACACCTATATGGATGACATAAAAGCCATCGCGAAATCCAGATTCAGAGGATTAGAATTCTCAATAGAACAAGCTACCACACCTTGATTCAAAGTGTGTAATATGACTATCATGAAGAATGGCCACCTACCTCGGAGTCAGGTAAAAAGGCAACGGGCTGTTTCTCTACAGCGTCAGCAGTGTGCAAGAGGAAAGAAAACCCTGATATTGTGTCCCAGGATTTACTACCTTAGGTTATATAAGTAAAGAATCCCTAAAATTAACTATAGGTATTTTAAAACTAAAAACCATTGTGTTACTCTTCTAATCCTCCATAAACATTGTTTGTAAAGGAAAGCTCAGGTCTCTCTTTTCACTTTGCCAAAAACAGGACACAGCTTAGCTCTGCTCTGATGGGGAAGGGAGTAATAAACATCAGAAAGTCTTCTGACTTTAAGTGTTCATTTCTCCTGGGAAGTGGCAATCCACACCAGAGTATTTTAGGACCTTTAGCCTTCTTATGATCTCCATCAATATTCACAAACCTTTCCTGTTAAACAAAAGCAAAGAAAGGCAACTTGAAGACAAGTATTATATTTTTCCCCTTCTACCAAACTCTTTCCCCCAAACTTCTTTATAGAAATTCTCAAGCTATCACTGGTGGTCAGTTTATGAATTTTTTTTGTCTTTTGGCTTTCAGTATTTTCCAGATTTTCTCTAACTACACATTTTACTTTTGAAATTGCTTTAGGAAAATTCTGGAGAAGGGAATGGCAACCTACTCCAGTATTCCTGCCTGGGAAATCCCATGAACAGAGGAGCCTTGTAGGCTACAGTCCATGGGGTTGCAAAGAGCTGAACACAACTGAGCAACTAACACACATAAGAAAATTCCAACCCCCCAGTTTTATTTTTAAAGATTTCCATTCAACAAAACTCACCTGAAATCCCTTAATATAATTTCCCACATATAAGCTTCAAAATATAAAAAATAAAATGAGTGAGAAATTTATTCATAAAAATATTAGTGTATTCCTTATGTTATTTCTGTCTAACTTACAAAAGCACTCACACCTTTGTTAAGCAGAGTGAGTAAATAATCTCATTGTGCCTGAACAGAAAACTTTACATTAATTTTTTTTAAAAGAGCTTTATTGCAATGATTTTCCATGTCTCTAAATCCTAATATAAATAGTATTTCCAACATACTAAATTCTTCTCTATTTGGTAGCTCATGAATGGTCACCATTGTGGTTTTTTTGTACTCAAATTATCAGAAACATTTAAGTCATTTGCCATGTTACATACCTCAACATAATGATTATATTCAACCCTTCAAAATGAATGAAAGATTCATCTACACTAGTGGAGTCAACTTGTTATTAATCATCATCAACATCATTCCTTGAGTATTAGCTAGTACCTCTTGTTTTACATGGATTATCTCTAAATCTCACAGTACCCACAAAGTGAATAATTTTTGTTTTCATTTTACATATAAAGAAACAGAGGCTCAACTGGGTTTGCTCAAGGCTTTGTCGTTGCATAGTCACTAAGTCATATCCTACTCTTTTGCAACCCCATGGCCTACAGCCTGCCAGGCTCCTCTGTTCCCGGAATTTCCTAGGCAACAATACTGGAGTGGGTTGCCATTTCTTTCTCCAAGGGATTTTTCCAAAACCAGTGACTGAACCCACATCTCCTGCACTGCAGGCAAGTTCTTTACCACCAAACCACCCGGGAAGCCCTTGCTCGAGGCTGCTGCTGCTGCTGCTAAGTCCCTTCAGTCGTGTCCGACTCTGTGCGACCCCATAGACAGCAGCCCACCAGGCTCCCCCGTCCCTGGGATTCTCCAGGCAAGAACACTGGAGTGGGTTGCCATTTCCTTCTCCAATGCATGAAAGTGAAAAGTGAAAGTGAAGTCGCTCAGTCGTGTCCAACTCTTAGCGACCCATGGACTACAGCCCACCAGGCTCCTTTGTCCATGGGATTTTCCAGGCAAGAGGACTGGAGTGGGGTGCCATTGCCTTCTCCTGCTCAAGGCTAACAGTTAGTAAATTAGTGAAGCAGTTTGGTGAGGCCAGCAAGTCTGTCTGGCTTCAAAAGCTTCTATTTATTCTACTAAACCATACAGCTTCAACAATCCCATAATGAGCCCATCTAAATGTCCTTTAAGGAAGCATTATATCATTTTTTAAAAAATCATGTTCCAGGATTAAAATCAGGTACATAATAAAATAATTCAATGCTATTTAAATTTAGGGGACACTGAAGAATATAAATTAAGTATGTATTCCAGGCTACAGTCATGGCAATTACATACAGAATTGTGGTATAAAACAGAATATTATTTACTATTTCTTTGACAGTCTACTAGCGCTATTAAGTTGAGGTTAAAGATTCTTTTTTAAAAAACTAATTTGTTAGTCATTCATCCTGAAACAAGTATACCCAAATGAAAATGAAGAGGTGCACTAGTTAGGTTTCNATGTATTCTAGGCTACAGTCATGGCAATTACATACAGAATTGTGGTATAAAACAGAATATTATTTACTATTTCTTTGACAGTCTACTAGCGCTATTAAGTTGAGGTTAAAGATTCTTTTTTAAAAAACTAATTTGTTAGTCATTCATCCTGAAACAAGTATACCCAAATGAAAATGAAGAGGTGCACTAGTTAGGTTTCTCTGAGTCAAATACTGCATCTGGGACATTTAGCAATTGAGGTTAAATATCTTTCCATTCAAGATGATATTTAACCCCTAATAAGGTCCTACAATCTATGAATTTGAGAATTCATATTGAATAAAGTTGAGCATTCCTCATACAATTTTATTGACTATCTCCTGGACAGCCTACACAAGCAGACAGAACAATCAAGATTGGTTAAAAAAAAAATCATAACACTCTGTTTCTTTACCTTCAACCCATACACATAAGACTATATATCTTAAACTGTCAGTGCCCTCTTAGGTAATAGAGAAAAAGTGTGACTCTTGGTTCCAAACTAAGGATATTTCTTAAAACTGCGGTTGATGGAAAGGGGTTGAATTTTTATTTATTTATTTTTCTTTTGTGTCTTCTTTTTTTTTCCATTTGTTTTTATTAGTTGGAGGCTAATTACAATATTGTAGTGGTTTTTGCCATACATTGACATGGATGAAACTGAATTTTTAATAGTAGCTAAGAATTCTAACATAGATTTGCTATAGGAAGAAGGTAGAAAAGAAAGTTAGCCACATAGGACCCCTGGAAATTGTTCCTTGTGGTCACCGGACAATTGTTTGAAGTATATCCCAAATCTTGATTGCAAATATGGCCATGACTGCATTAAGTCACATGCATGCATACATTCACACTATTTTCCATGGAAAATAATTTCTGGTATCTCTAAAAATGATCTCCCAGAGTTAAGATGGAATTGTGAAATGAAAGCTTACTCATTCCTTGTGAAACCCAAGAGAGAGACTTTTCTGAGAGAGACGGGAAGCGAGGTTTCACTAGGTCTTCCATGGTCACTGCGGCTAAGGCGTTGATGCTGGAGGACACTGTGCTGTGGGGGAAAACCAAGTTCGTAACGTGCATGTTAACTTTAATAATGCCTTAGCTAGGAGTAAGAAAAAGGAAAGATTGTCACTTCTGAAATATAACCAGATTTCTACTGCATTACTTCTTAAATTATAAGTATAGTTGATGTACAATGTTGTGGTAGTTTCTGGCATACAGCAAAGTTATTCAGTATATATATGCATATATTAATATACATATTAATGTATACATACATATTATTTTTCATATTATTTTCCATTATGGTTTATTATAAGATGTTGGGTACAGTTTCCTGTGTTATATAGTAGGACTTTGTCTTTTTACCTATTTTACCTACTACATTATTTTTTAATAATTACATCATCCTCTTTCTGGAAACTGTCATCTAAGAATGATTCAGGCAAATCCATAGGCTTAATAGTGAGAAAGGATAATTTAATGTTGATTCCATTTTGCCATTAATCCTTATTATCCATGAAAGAATTTCTTAGATCATGCAGTATTACTATATAATGACTTTAAAGCACATTTTTCTTCGTGCATAGAAAGGACTATCATAAGTCCTCTCTAACATTCACCATAAATATTAACAATATTAATTTGCTGGATCTTCACTAACATATGTTGTACATGATAATAATTAGTATAACACAGGAACAAAGTACAATGAATAAGCTCAAACACAAAACAAGATCCTTTGGACAGTATTATTCAGCATGTAACAGGAGATTTGTATTCTAAGTTTTCCATTTGACCATGCTTTAGTTACAAGCATATTTTAAACTAACACTGTAGGTCCTTATTTTGACCATCAGCAAAATTTACCATCAACTGATTATCATTATCGTGACTGTATTGGGTATGTGATGATGTTTTAGACAGTAGGGACTAAAGATAAAAGCAAAGATTTATGGCAACAGACAGCCAACCCTCAAGGAGAAGAGTCAGACTGACAGAAAGGAGACATGGAATAATTGCCTATTTGGGGCCATTTGTGCCCATGTCCAGAATTCACCCTTATCCCCCCAAATATCCAATAATAAAAGAAACATCCCAAGAGGGAAAACTTGTATTATTAGAGTCCTAGTTCATACCTTAATGTTCCACTGTAAGCACAGGCCACAAAGAGTCCAGGAAGTCCTGGATAATCTTGCAGAATGTCCAGTACCAAATAAGGCATGAGCTGAAAAATTTCAAAATTTACTCTTGAGTACTGTTGGCTATGAAATAAAATTAATTAACATCTCATTTATCTTGTGGTATTTAAGAACTAAAGGAAGATATTCCACACAACTGAAATTTCCAAATATGAAAAATTAAACTCTTTACCTGCTAACATTTAAATAAAAAAATAGAATAGTAGTTAAGGATACAGGCTCTGGATTCAGACAGATGTGGCTTTTGTTATTTAGTTTCTCTAAGCCTCAGTTTCCTCATCTGTAAAATAGGAATAATAATTCTAATCTCATAGAGTTGCTACAAAACTTAAATTAGATCATCTATGTAAGTTCTTAGTATAGCACACAGAATATAGAAAAGGCTCAGAGATAGGCAGCTGTTCTCATTTTTTGGAATAATAAATCAATTTAAAGGAAATATTTTTACATACCTCTGTGCTTAAGTAATAAGCATTCACTTAATATAACTTCACTTGATGACTCAGATTTATACCTGTGACCTTCAATCACTATTCAGGATTGAAAATGTAATTAGAGCTGCTTATACAGTTGACCCTTGGACAAGATCATTTTGAACTGCATGGGTCTGCTTATATGCGGATTTTTTTTTTTTAATATAGAAAAATATACATGTAGAACATCATATGCATGACTTTGTTGAAGTGCATAACCTATCCTTACACAGGTATGACGTGAGTGATATTTAATATGAAAACAACATGCAACATGTTAGGGTTTTCTTACTGTTTTATTACTCATTTCAAAGACTTGTGTTACTGCACAGTATGTCTCTCTCTAATAACTGCAGAAACTGCAATAACCAATCATCAGAAGTAAGATTTAAAAAAAAACACATAATGCTTCTAACACTGTATTATGAATATGACTATTATACTGTATGCCATCAAGACTTTATAACAATTCATTCATTAGGGTATAGGCTAGGCTAGCATGAAGTAATCATATCAATTACACTAGGTTACAAATAGCTCAGTTGGTAAGAATCTGCAATGCAGGAGACCCCGGTTCGATTCCTGGGTTGGGAAGATTGATCGAGAAGGGATAGGCTATCCACTCCAATATTCTTGGGCTTCCCTTGTGGCTTGGCTGGTAAAGAATCTGCCTGCAATGTAGGAGACCTGGGTTCGATCCTTGGGTTGGGAAGATCCCCTGGAGATGGGAAAGGCTACCCACTCCAGTATTCTGGCCTGGAGAATTCCATGGACTGTAAAGTCCATGGGGTCACAAAGAGTCAAAGATGACTGAGCAACTTTCACTTTCACAAATTAAGCAATTGTATTGCAGCTTCTTTGTCAATGCACGAGGTGCCTTGAAAATTTTTCCAGGCATTTCCATATATTTTCTATTTTTATTTATTTATTTTTGGCTCCGTGTCTTTGTTAGGGCACTTGGGCTTTCTCTAGCTGTAGCGAGAGGCCCACTCTCGGATCGCAGTGTGCGGTCTCTCACTGCAGTGGCATTTCTTGTTATAGAGCCTGGGCCCTAGAGCACGGGCTTCAGTAGTTGTGGCACACAGGCTTAGTGGCTCTGCGGCATATGGGATCATCCTGGGACCAGGGATTGAACCTATGCCCCCTGCATTGGCAGGCAGATCCTTCACCATTGGACCACCAGGGAAATCTCTCAGTATTTTAATATTGGAAGTAGCATTCTTCATTCTTGTTAAGTCTGCTAAAATAAAAATTTTCCAAATGCTTTATAGAAACTAAAAATGAATAATGTGCCTATTTGCTGGTACTTTACAAGAACATGAGCACTCTCCTCCCAGCTAATAACTTTGGGGAACGTCATTCCTGCACATAAGAAAGACATGGTACTGGACCTGGTCTGGTGCAGACACTTTCTTGGCGGTCCAGGGATCACAGTCATGGTACCTGGAATAGAGGGCAAGCCCGCAAAGCACCGAGCAGACGAGGATCACCCAGAGTCCCAGGAGGTTGATGTAGAGAGACCTAATGAAGTGAAAACAACAAGTACATGACAACTTTAATTTCCATCTCAAAGATGAGATCGATTGTTAAACAGAAGAGACATTCATGACTACATTCAATAGACATGCATTCTCTTTTGGGAGTCAAAAATGCTATTTCTTATATTCTGGCCTAACCTTCTGTTTATGACGTCAATCAACACTGTATTTGGAAATATTTGGAGTAGATGGGGTTTTGTCACTGAATGAATGTATCCTCCAGGTCAGAGTTCCATGGGCGTTATTAGCTTTATAATGTTGTTTAACTACACTACTTCATGCTTCCCTGGTGGTTGAGCAGTAAAGAGTCCAACTGTCAATGCAGGAGATGCAGGTTCCATCCCTGTGTCAGGAAGATCCCCTGAAGAAGGAAATGGCAACCCACTCCAGTATTCTTGCCTGGGAAATCCCACAGAGGAGCCTGGTGGGCTACAGTCCATGGGGCTGGAAACAAGTCAGATATGACTTAGTGACTAAAGGACAACTGTAACAAAATTACACTACTTCGGGACCTTTTGTCATGAAATAGAGACTTTAATAGTCAACAGAGCAGTGACTGTTATTCATTTTCCCTTTTAAAGTGATGCAGTTATAAACTGCTTGACATTGTTAGCATCTACATAGCAACTCACCAAAGTTGTTAAAATGTGGTTTGTGATGCCATCCATTAAATAGGAAAGGCAAACCTGTATTCCTACACAGATATCTTCCAAAATAATGTTCAGCATTTCAATACATGGTATGTGCTCCAGTAGAATGTAAAGGTTTATGTAATAGCACTAGAGTCAGTCCTGAGCATAAATCTTGGCTCTCTCTACCATATGTGACATTGGGCAAGTAAATTAACCTCTCTGATCCTCAGTTTCTTCACTGAAAGCCAGAAATAACAATGCATACCTCACTGAGTTATATGTAAGACTAAATAAAATAGTGTCTATCATATAGTACAATAGCATGTAATAACCACTTGTTAAATGGGAGTTAGTGATATTACTAGTGTTAATATCATTGAATGCTATGTCTTATCAGGGAAGACCTATTTTAATAAGCAGTTGATAGCAAATATTTCTCCCACTAAGGCTAAGGTTTTCCCCCCAGGGGCACTATAGTGGACGCCTGGACTGAAAGAGAGGTGCCCACACCACCACCAACTCTTACCTCCTTCCCCAGGGCAGCCTGCACAAAATGATGACTAGATTCAGGTTTAAAGGCTGAGTTCCCTCAAGCCAACCTGGAACAGCCTGAAGGGTCATCTCAGCTCTAAAGCTCCTGTTGAGGCCTCTGTTGAGACTGCATTTCAGAACTTAGTGACTAAAGGACAACTGTAACAAAATTACACTACTTCGGGACCTTTTGTCATGAAATAGAGACTTTAATAGTCAACAGAGCAGTGACTGTTATTCATTTTCCCTTTTAAAGTGATGCAGTTATAAACTGCTTGACATTGTTAGCATCTACATAGCAACTCACCAAAGTTGTTTAAATGTGGTTTGTGATGCCATCCATTAAATAGGAAAGGCAAACCTGTATTCCTAGACAGGTATCTTCCAAAATAATGTTCAGCATTTCAATACATGGTATGTGCTCCAGTAGAATGTAAAGGTTTATGTAATAGCACTAGAGTCAGTCCTGAGCATAAATCTTGGCTCTCTCTACCATATGTGACATTGGGCAAGTAAATTAACCTCTCTGATCCTCAGTTTCTTCACTGAAAGCCAGAAATAACAATGCATACCTCACTGAGTTATATGTAAGACTAAATAAAATAGTGTCTATCATATAGTACAATAGCATGTAATAACCACTTGTTAAATGGGAGTTAGTGATATTACTAGTGTTAATATCATTGAATGCTATGTCTTATCAGGGAAGACCTATTTTAATAAGCAGTTGATAGCAAATATTTCTCCCACTAAGGCTAAGGTTTTCCCCCCAGGGGCACTATAGTGGACGCCTGGACTGAAAGAGAGGTGCCCACACCACCACCAACTCTTACCTCCTTCCCCAGGGCAGCCTGCACAAAATGATGACTAGATTCAGGTTTAAAGGCTGAGTTCCCTCAAGCCAACCTGGAACAGCCTGAAGGGTCATCTCAGCTCTAAAGCTCCTGTTGAGGCCTCTGTTGAGACTGCATTTCAGCCCACCTTCTCCCTCTGGCCAATCTCCCCTTCCTTCTCTTCTACAGTGGTAATTCCCTAGGAGACTCTGGCATGCTAACCTCCACCTCAAAGTCTGCTTCCAGGAGAACCTAACCTGCAAGAAGTCCCAAACAACAGATTTCTAGTCTTTTCCCTTGACTGACTACATCCACTGTGTATTTTGTTACTGCCTAATGAGTAATGGATAACCAACAAGAACCTACTGTATGGCACAGGGAACTCTGCTCAATACTTTGCAACAAACTAAATGGTAAAAGAATTTGAAAAATAATAGATACATGTATAACTGAGTCATTTTGCTATATACCTGAAACTAAACCAACATTGTTAATCAAGTATACTCCAATATAAAACTGTTTTAAAAAATTAAAAGTAATGTAACTATATGTCATCTCCAAATCACCATAAATATACCCAGACATTTTCCTACTTAGTCACCACACCTCACTTATATATGAGTTAATGTCTTATCCTATTGTTTTATTCTACTTTAATGCCAGTCAGATAGATCACTTATCAACATCTGATACCCTGTCTAGTCAATCAATGTCAGTAGGTCTTGACTTTTTGGCTGGGGTTCATTCTTTCCATGGAGCCAATGTTAGAAACTGGGAGAAAATGGTTCCCCTGAGCGCTTGTTAAAGAGACCATCGGACTATTCGGAAGGAAATTGTTTTCTACTAAGAAAGCTCTAATGCTGTTCTTTTAGTCATAAACTTGGGCTTTTTGAGCTCCATATTCTCAAAGAAACATGTTCCCAAAGAAGAGCCTGTGCACAGTTACTTTGGGAGGGGCATCAGCTCTAATGTGGATGGATTACTGGATATATAAATTATATTCCTTTAAAGTGTCTTAAAATATCAGCATTCTTAAGCTCACTTTTGGGGGATTCCATATCCAGTTACTATACTCATATTCATATAGATCTTTCATTGTGAAATTTACCAAACATAGATAATGTCTAAACCAACTTACTCTCATATGTTGATATGTGACATCACGTACTTTTAATATTCTCCCTTAATACAAATAGAATTGCTACTCCTCCTACTGCAATCACCTTGTTACTCTTAGAGTTTTAAAGCTTCAAAATGCCTGAAAGCCAACTTAGCTTTATTTACCAGTATTAAGAATGCTGTTCACCAAGTTTATCTGAGGCCTCCTGAGAAAAACCCAGCCACTGCTCACACTCTGCCTAGGCCGAGATGGGCTGGAGACTCCCCTGACCATGCTGTCCCTCTGACCTCGGTACATGCATGTGCTGAGTCACTTCAGTAGTGTCTGACTCTTTGCCACCCCATGGACCGTAGCCCGTCAGGCTCCTGTCTACAAGACTTCCCAGGCCAGCATACTGGAGTGGGTTGCCATCTCCTATCTCCCCAACCCAGGGATTGAACCCGCATCTTTTATGTCTCCTGCTTTGGCAGGCAGGTTCTTTACCACTAGTGCCACCTGGGAAGCCCTCCAGAGGGCTCATGATAAGAGGTCAGAAGACAACCTCTGTGCTTTGGGCAAATCGCTCTTCCTATCTGGAATGCTCTCCTATTCCTCGCCACCGGCCCACACGTGGTCTTCCTTCAGGACCTGCCTGCTCAACAGGAATCTCTCATTCATCCCTGCCTTCACATCCCAGGATTTGAGGTGGAAAAGGGAATTCACATTTACTGGATCCCTATCACATGCATGACAAACAACGTGTTTTATAATTCCTCCACAAGATGTGTGATATGCTCATTGTATAAGTTTAGAAACTGAAGTTCAGAGAGTCTAAGAAACTCACCCCATTACTCAAGTAGCAAGTGTTAGAACCAGGTTATAAGCCCATAACTGTGTCTGAATATAAAATGAAACAACACATCTGGCAGTACAATGCTCTAGAACATTTCCTCTACTGTTACCTTGTTTCAGGAAACTGTTATACCTCTAAGTGCTATTTCATTTTTCACATAGTTGCATATATTTTCCTAATTTGATGCTAGGTTCCATCATGATTGTTGTTCAGTTGCTAAGCCATGTCTGACTCTTTGCAACCCCACAGACTACAGCACACCAGGCTTCCCTATCTTCCAGAGTTTGCTTAAACTCAGGACCATTGTGTCAAAGATGTCATCCACCCATCTCGTCCTCTGTCCTTTATGATAAGAGCCACATATTTATAATTTTTATTCCTTATATTTCCTTATACAGATACAAAACAAATGCCTATGTATTTGATAAGGTTTGTTTTACTTAATAATTGATATAAATTTTCTTTTGGCCACACCATGTGGCATGTGGGATCTTAGTTTCCCAACCAGGGATCAAACCCTCACCCCTTGCTGTGGAAACACAGAGTCTTAACTACCGGACCACCAGGAGCACAACACCACCCATCGGGAGAAAATCGAATTAAAGATTTTCTGAGTGTGGCCCTGCCCACCAGAGCAAGACCCAGTTTTCCCCACAGCCAGTCCCTCCCATCAGGAAGCTTGCACAAGCCTCTTATCCTCATCCATCAGAAGTCAGACAAAAGAAACAGAGGTCCTTGATATAAAAATTTTAAAATATCTGATTAAAAAAAAATAAAATATCTGATTCAAAACATACAGTACTACTTTGTTCTATGTGATCCTTTTGTAAGTATATCATTTATCTCTTAGAATTTCATGATACAAAAGAGAAACTGCAGCAAAGCTTGACTTCTGAACATCCATAAAGACAATTATAGTTATTCATGATTCATATACCATAGTTTGGCTTACAATTTTGCCTGGAACCTGCTTTTACAGGAGATATATCTCTGCACTTGGGATTGGTTCACACCATAGATGCTGGTCCATGTGAAGGTCCCTCCTATAATAATCGTCCAGAACGTGTGTCTTTGCAAAGGGTTAGGATTAAAGCTAAATGAAAACAAACAGAAAACAAATTTGAACTCTCAGTAAACTACTACAGAAATCTTTCTAGAGCGTTTTGGAAGCAAGCAATGTATACTTACATAAATATAAACAAATATATATATACACACACAAATGTGTACAGATTGAGTGAAATAAAAAAATTGATACTTTCAGAGATTTGGAAATTCTGGATAGGACTGGGGGCAAAATGAATGTTTCAATCATTGTGAACATTTATAGAAACTGTTCTCCCATGGCCACAGGAAGTTATTTAAACAAGTCTGCCATGCTGTAATCAGAGAAGAGCATGAAGCTGAAGAAAGAGAGAGCAAGCAATTCCTAGGTACACTGGAGCAACAGATATGGTACTGAAATAAACATAGTATTGACACATTTCATGTGTATAATTCCTCTCCCAGAACATTTATAGTCCTAGTTCTACGTTATACTCAAGTTGAAGAATTCAAATTAATGCAGTTTAAAGGTTTTCATGTTTAAAACTACCATGTCATTATAACCATGTTCTTAAAAGGCTGTGTGTACAAACTACATACTCACAGTTGAAAGTCACATTACAGTACTTAAACAAAATATGATTACAAAGAAAGCTCAACTTCCACATTCAGTGCATCTTTTCATTCTTCTTACTGTATCATCTTGGAAGGAATTAGTCCCTTCATCGCTGATACACAATATAAGCTTGAAAATTTTCTGCAAAATTAGCTTTAATGGAAGCATTCTGCAGTTCTGAAATTCTGCATTTCACTTCAAAGTTTATATTTGAGATCATTTGGGTAAAGTGCTACAATTTTATGTTTTCAGCATTCTAATGGAAAGATGAGAGCCTCTATTCCATTCTCTAATAGTTAATATCAAAGTCTAAGAGTTTCAGGGGTGTTGGTCCTTTCTCCCATAAAGAAAGTGACTACTATACTAGCTAATAAACGTCAAGAGCCAAAGGGTTCTGTGAGTTACTGGAAGAAAGTAAGACAAGATTTAAAACACCCAATTTAGTGGTTTTGGTTTTGGCAATACAGAATACATATGCCAACTATAGACCATATGAAAAATATCAACACAAAATCCTTCTCTTCGTTTATCCTACCCAGGGCAGATTTATTGCCCACCATCATATTCTCAAGACATATTTGAATAACAAGGGATATACAATAAGGTTTTTCATTTTTCCTTATTTGTTGGAAACCTTGTAAGGGTCATAAAAATGTCTAATCTTTTACTTTTTGGAATCTTTTACAGGTTATAAGTTATTATTTCATGCAGCAATGTGTTTACCCTTCATATAAACTGACAGTTATTTTGCAGAAAAATTGATTCACTCCATACCCTTTCCCCTCAACCTAGCTGACTAGGAAGAGATTTGGAAGTAATCCAGGTCTACTGAGTGGCCACTGGTTGTTTCTGTCTCTTGGTATCTATTCCCCACTCTTCTACCCACTCCAGTATTTTTGCCTGGAGAATCCCACGGACAGAGGAGACTGGTGAGCTACAGTCCACGGGGTCACAAGGACTTGGACGTGACTGAGAAATTAACACTTCTAGTAACAGCAACCTAGGTTTGCCTTGGGAAAATAACCATTTCTCCATTAAACAGTCTAAAGATGGTCAATCAAAATGTTCTACTCTGTCCTAGCTAATGGATGGAATCAAGCTTAAGCTAGGCCAACTGGAGGCTCTATTTTCCTTAAAAATATTGAGAACAGTTGGAGTTGATTCACTGTAGCTCATTCTTGCAAATTAAGACATTGACCCTGTCCAATTTCTAATGTTATTCTCAAACACTAACACCTTCTTTCAGAAAACCAGAAGAGAGCCGCCAAGTGTAAAGTGATTTTCTTTCCTCTTGCCAGCGATTTCTGCTTGCTTATCTCATAGCAGGGCTGCTTTAAAAGAAAATTAGCTGGTTCATGTCAAAATGAGCACCCCACCCCCTCACACTGAACATGATGTATAAGGAAGACACCATCAATCCAAAAGATAAAGTGTTTTAAATAGTCTTTTAAATTTATGATGAAATAATCTAGTTTCTCCATTAGCCTTCTTTAAGCAAGTTGAACAGTTGTTGAAGACATTATATCTTATGTAATGCTGATACCTGAGGCATTGGCCATAACTTCTCTAGTCAATATTCTAGAAATAATATTTAAATCTAGTTTCTCCATTAGCCTTCTTTAAGCAAGTTGAACAGTTGTTGAAGACATTATATCTTATGTAATGCTGATACCTGAGGCATTGGCCATAACTTCTCTAGTCAATATTCTAAAAATAATATTTAATATTACATAATATACACTAAATAATATTCACATATAAAATACAGACATATATAATAATAATATACTATATATTGCCAGGGCCATATTAAAAGAGGAATTCTCTAGGCTGCTTGAAACAAAGAATTGTCAAAGTGGAATCACTATCTTTCAGTGCTTTTCCCTTAAGAGGTTTCCTTTCCCTACCTCTCTACTATATCCTCCCTTCTCTCCCTACCCCTACCTTTCAACCTATCTCAGATTTTAATTTCTGGAAGAAAATACTCTTTTCCTATCAATCCCTTCTCAGAAGGAAGCACCATCCTCAGCACCATGTAACTAAATACCACCTGACGGCTTCCACCCTTAAAGTGAAAACTCCTTACATATTTATGTGCCAGCTTCAAAGTTTTTTACCATGACCTTAATGGTTAGTTTGTTTTCTAATGTAAATTTATTATTTCAGCCAAGAGACTTTCTACAGGAAAAAAAAAAAAAAGGAATGTTCTATTAACCAAGAAGTAAATACTTAACCAAAAAGCAACTTACTTCCAGAAGTTTAATCTTCCTCCATTGGCGGCATCATTTATAATAGTGCTGATTCCACCTTGAACCAATGCAGCCTTTATAATCACAGATGTAAAGCCAGCCACCATGATTCCAACTTGAAAAACATCCGTCCAGATAACTGCTTTAAGACCACCCTTTGAGAAAAAAGTACATTAGGATTAATGCTTCTACCAGACATTATTAAGCACTTATATGCTTATACACTCTCCTGGTCAAAGATAAGGAAAACACGAATCTTGGCCAAGAAGTGCACCCAAGGGAGATACTCAGGAAGGTAGTACTTAGATCCAACTTTCAAATATAAACAGAATCCAAAATGAAAGGTCTCTCAGCAGAGAAAACAGCGTGGGCAAAAAACATGTGCTTAGCCACTTAGTCAGGTCTGATTCCCTGTGACCCCCGTGGACTGCAGCCTGCTAGGCTCCCAGAATTCAAAACACATGGCATGCTTAGTGTGGCCAGATATATATTCTGGAGCAAAGTGGAGTGGTGTGGGGATATTGTTAGGAAGAAAACTCAGGGTCAAACTGCAGCATCATAGATTTTATCCTATAGGCAGGACTGATAGTCAAACAGTGTGCACAAAGAAGGCATGCGTGTGTGCTCTGAGGGGATCCAATTCCTTGTGATCCCCTGGACTGTAGCCCACCAGGCTCCCCTGTCCATAGGATCTTCCATGCAAGAATACTGGAGTGGGTTGCCATTTCCTACTCCAGCGGATCATCTCAACCCAGGGATCAAACCCACCTCTCCCACATCTTCTGTATTGGCAAGTGGATTAGCACAAAGAAGGACATACCAGCTACTGAAAAACTAAAATTGTTTTGTACTAGTCACTGCCCAAGTGTCCCCTCCAGAACCTGACCCAGACCCTCTTTGAGGACCTTGTCATCTACATCATCGAGTAACTAAAGTATTAAGACTTAGAGTATCACAGGTTGCACAAGACTTGCACCACCGGTAAGGATCAGCGTCAATGATAATATCAGTGCCCATGCCACACTGGTTCTTACATATTTTGACTGTCACTCCTGCCTAAAGGCAATGGGAAATTATCTCAGGTTACTAAGCTAAGGAATATCGTGAGTATAGTTATAATAACATGATGACAATAAAAGCAAATTATGAAATGAGATTGGGGACCAATGCATGGTTCAAATGAAGAAAAAATATCAGTTATGATCAATGTTTTACAAAGGATCAACTTTTACCCTGGACTGAATATTCCTTATAAAAAACAAGCTATTGTGGGAAGGAAATATAAACAACCCAGACTGCAGCATGCATTGATTGAAACTTTTAATTTTGCAAAGCAAGAGTATAGGGTAAAAGGAGAAATAAGGTTCTTGACATACCATAGTGCAGTAGAATGTGCAGACCACACCAGTAGCCACTACTACGCCCCACAGATCAAATCCCGTGACTGTAGAAGAAAAGAAAATGCATGTATAACTGTAAAATATATACCAGTACTTCTCAAAAAATCATCAGCGGGAAGCTATATCATTTATCGGGCACCTACCTCTATACCCTCTTACCTTAAACTAGGCCCAAATTTCAAAAAATGTACCAAAACAAATAGAGTTCAAATTTTATTTGATGAGTTAAATAGACCTGACGTCTATCCTCAGACACTATACAGGATCCAACACTGGCTACATCACATACATGAAAAAGCGTTTATATTATAATTAAGCTGAGAAACTGCTTGCTATTGGGAGGTGGTTACCCAGACTGACTGGGGTCATAGGATATTTGTTGTCATGGTTCATATACACACATTTTTCTACCAATCCTTGAAAGACAAGCTGTCCATGTTACTAAAATGGGACAAAGAAAGAGAAAAACATATGGTATTTGTTACCATTTATTTAAGAAGTAGAGGGGCAAAACTTCCCTGGTGGCGCAGTGGATAAGAATCTGTCCGCCAGTGCAGGAGACATGGGTTTGATCCCTGATCCAGGAAGATCCCACATGGCTTGGGGCAGCCAAGCCCACGTGTCACAGCTGTGGAGCCTGTGTTTTAGAGTCCGGGGGCTGAAAATACAGAGCTCACATGCTGCAACCATGCAAGTGTCATTACTGATTCCTTCACCAAGGGTCACTTAATGTTCCCCAGTCCTCTGTACTTCTTGTGAACTAGACCTAGAAGCATTCTCAGACTTAATTTCAACTTTTTGCAGTAATGAGTTACAACTATTAATGTGTTGTTAATTCATTCATTAACTTTTAAAAAAAGAAGCAGTGTGTCAAATTATATTTTTTAATGGAAGGATAACAACTCTATGCCCACAGATTTGAAAGAAAATTTTACAAAAGACCTCTGATAAGGGATTGTTCTCCATATCATACAAAATGCTTAAAGCTCAACAGTGAAAAAAAAAAAAACCTGATTCTAAACCGTACCAAGACCTTAACAGATACCTCACAAAGCATATATAGATGACAAATAAGCATATGAAAAGATGCTCCACATCAGATGTCATCAGGGAAATGCAAATTAAAACAACGAGATACTACTATACACTTGTTAGAATAGTAAAGATTTGGAACACTGACATCACATGCCAGGCAAAGAGATGGAGCAACATAAGTCTTTCATGCATTGCAGGTAAGAATGCAAATTGGAAAGAGCCATTTTAGAAGGCAGTTTGGTGGTTTCCAACAAAACTCAACATATTCTTGTAATATAATTCAACAATTGTGTCCTTTGGTATTTACTCAAAAGAGTTGAAAACTGCATCATGAAATAGTCTCCAAAAAGTTGAAATGAAGTCGGAGAATGCTTCTAGATATACTTCACAAGAAATACAGAGGACCAGGGAACATTAAATAACCCCATGGTAATGAAATCAATAAAACCAAGAGCCTGGAAAATTAACGAGCTGAAATTTTGACATGTATAGAATATTGTCCCCAACACAATTAACATCCTGTATAAAAATGTATGGAATGTTCAGGTACAGAGACCATATCATGGACTGTAAAACAAATCTTAATACATTTCAAAGAATTAAAATCACAGTAGTCCTCTGACTACTACTACTACTAGCTACTACTACTACTAACATTAATTTAGAAACCAATAACAAAAAGGTATGTTTGAAAATCACCAAATATTTGAAAATTATGTAACACATTTCTAAATAACCCATGAGTAAAAGAAATCACAAGAGAAATTGGAAAATATCTCGAACTGAATGATTAAAAAAAACACAAGGTATCAAAACCTGTGGGATGCAAATGAAGCAGTACTTACAATAGAATTTATAGCTGTAAATATTATTTTAGAAAATAAGAGATTTAAAATCAAAGTTTCTACCTTAAAAAGCTAAAAAATTTAAGCCCAAATTTAAGTAGAAGAAACAGTAGACATAATCAGTGAAATAGAAAGCAAATACATAAAATCAACAAAGCCAGAAACTAGTTCTTAGAAAAAATTTAAAACATCAATAAAAGACTAGCAAGATACATCAAGGAAAAAAAGGACAGAAAAGATATCAATATTAGGAACAATAAGAAGGGACATCACTATAAATTCTATAAACATTAAAAGGATAACAAGAGGATATTTCAAATGACTTTATGCCAATGACTTGGCAAATTAGATTAAATGAATTAATGTCCTAAAAAAGACAGCTGACTAAAACTGACTGAATAAAAACTAGAAAATCCAAATGACTATATTTATTACAGAAACTGTATCCATAAACTAAAACTTTTCTACAAAAATAAGTATCAGGCTCAGATGCCTTCATTGTGAATTCTTTCAAGCATTTAAGAAATAAGTACACAGTCTTATACCTTGTTCAGAAAATAGAGGAAGGAACACTTTCCAAACCATACAAAGTCAGTATAATTAATACAAAAACCTTGACAAAGACATTTAAGGAAAAGTAAATTTCATGCCAATACTCCTCATAACCTGCAAAAATCCTTTACAAAATACTGGCAAATCAAATTCACCAATATATTAAAAGGTTAATACATTATGACCAAGTAAATTTTATCCCAAGAAGAAAAATTGGTTTATCATTTGAAAAATCAATATAATTTTCTACATTAACAGTGTATGAAGACAGAGCAGTAAAAGGCATACAGACAGAAAAAGAAGTAGTAAAACTGTTTCTGTTCATCAGTCAGTTCAGTCTCTCAGTTGTGTCCTACTCTTTGCAACCCCATGGACTGCAGCACACCAGGCTTCCCTGTCCATCATTAACTCCCAGAGTGTACTCAAACTCATGTCCATCGTGTCAGTGATGCCATCCAACCATCTCATCCTGTTATCCCCTTCTCCTCCCACCTTCAGTCCTTCCCAGCATCAGAGTCTTTTCCTATGAGTCGGCTCTTCGCATCAGGTGGCCAAAGTATTGGAGTTTCAGCTTCAGCATCAGTCCTTCCAATGAACACCCAGGACTGACCTCCTTTAGGATGGACTGGTTGGATCTCCTTGCAGTCCAAGGGACTCTCAAGAGTGTTCTTCAACACCACAGTTCAAAAGAATCAATTCTTTGGTGCTCAGCTTTCTTCATAGTCCAACTCTCACATCCATACATGACTACTGGAAAACCATAGCTTTGACTCGACAGACCTTTGTTGGCAAAGCAATGTCTCTGCTTTTTAATATGCTGCCTAGGTTGGTCATAGTTTTTCATCCACGGAGCAAGCGTGTTTTAATTTCATGGCTGCAGTCACCATCTGCAATGATTCTGGAGCCCAAAAAAGTCTCTCACTGTTTCCATTGTTTCTCTACTGTGGGCAATGATCCCTTAAAAGAAATGGAGTAGCCATCATAGTCAGCAAAAGAGTCCAAAATGCAGTCCTTGGATGCAATCTCAAAAAGCAACAGAATGATCTGTTTGTTTCCAAGGCAAACCATTCAATATCACAGTAATCCAAGTCTGTGCCCCGACCGGTAATTCTGAAGAAACTGAAGTTGAACAGTTCTATGAAAACCTAAAAGACCTTCTGGAATTAACACCCAAAAAAAGATGTCCTTTTCATTATATGGGACTGGAATGCAAAAGTAGGAAGTCAAGAGATACCTGAAGTAACAGGCAAATTTGGCCTTGGAGTACATAACGAACAGGTCAAAGGCTAACAGAGTTTGCCAAGGGAATGCACTGGTCATAGCAAACACCCTCTTCCAACAACACAAGAGAAGACTCCACACATGGATATCACCTGATGGTCAATACTGAAATCAGATTGATTATATTCTTTGTTTCTATTCAGAAACAACATGAAAACCACAAAGGATTTTCCAAAAGCCTACTTGAATTAGTAAGTATATTTAGCAAGTTCTCAGAATAGAAGATCAACATATAGAAGGCAATTGTATTTTTCCATACTTGCAAATGATGAAAAGACATTACTGAGAGAAATTTTAAAATGCCTGGGTAAATGGATAAATAGGTCAAGTAATGGATAGACAGACCATGTAAATGACAGGTCAAGTCTTCTGTCCACCTTTTGTTTGGTTATTTGTCTTTTTTACATTGATTTTGTTATTCAATGAGCCAGTAAGCTCAACATCAACAGTCGGCAAGAAAATACAAAATAAAACCTTTATTTTGTATTTTCTTGCCGACTGTTGATGGCAAGGACATGGAATCACTGAAACTCTTATAGATTGTGGGGTGGGCATGTAGAATGATACAACAACTTAGAAAAGCTATTTGGTAGTTTCTCTTAAATTCTGTACATGTGACTACCCTGTGGGTCTGAACATGTGGGTCAGAACAGGTGTATATTTAACTTTATCTTGCTTCCAGGTATTCATCCACTAAAAATGAAAACATGTCAAAAAGCAAAGCAAGACAAAACAAAACCTGTACAAGAATGTTCTTAGCAGCTTTCATTCAAAATAGCCTAAAACTGGAACAACGCAACATCCATCAACAAGAGAATGGATAAACAGATTTTGGTAGATGCATATGATAAAATATTAGCATTAAAAAGGAATGAATTACTGATACATGTACCAACATGAATGAATACCTCAAAAACATTTTATTGAGCGGAAGAAACCAGACACAAAGAAGGCACTATATGATTCCACTTATATAAAATCTAAGAACAGGGAAAGGTAATTTATGGTGATAAAAGCTCGCTGCTTGGAATAGAGGGGGGACTCATTAGAAAGAAACACAAAAATATTTCTGGGAAATGAAGATAAAAATATTCTATATCTTGAGTTGAATGGTTGTCACAAGTACACAAAATTGTCAAAAGTCAACCAACTGTGCACTTAGGTTTCTGCGCATTTTATTGTATATACACTATATCACAATAAAATATGGCTTTCAATTTTAAAAAGCAAGAAAGAGAAATTTAAGAAACAACTGAACTAATTACAGATACATAAACTTATCTGAATCCTTATTCTAATAAACACTGAGAAAACATCAGGGATCTCTAAAC